CCCCCCCCCCCCCTTGGCTCGACAGTGAAACGCATCACCTATTACACAAAAAGGAAACCACTAGAAGAAAAGCCAAAAGGAGCTGCTGCAGTAACAACCGCTGGGAAAATTTCAGAAACGTTCGCCGTTCCTGTAAGTCGCTGATGTCACGTAAGCGAAAAGAGTTCTTTCAGTCTTTGCCTGTTCTTATGAAATCAAACACAAAACGATTCTGGTCGTTGTTCAAATTTACATCAAATTCATTTAGTGTACCAAACAAAATGAGTTGGAAGCGTGATGAAGGAACTGTCACAGCTGAAAATCCTGAAGACGTTGCAAATCTCTTAAACAACTTCTTCGTTTCTATGATTAATAAACCTCTTACCCAAGAAGATTATGATGCCCATCCAGCGTCCACCACTACCTTCTGTGACCCCATAAGCGATATCAACATCTCACCTGATGACGCTCAACGTGCTCTTCTCTCTCTCGATGACAACAAAGCTAATGATCCAGACAAAATTCCGGCAAAGTTGCTTAGATGTTGTGCTCCATAGATTTCCTCATCCCTTGCTGATCTCTTCAATAGAAGCTTAACTTCCGGTAGTGTACCAGCGGAATGGAAAGTTTCTAATATAATACCCATTTCTAAAGGTGGTCAAAATAACGAAGTTTCAAATTATCAACCCATATCTTTACTTCCAATTGTATCAAAAGTCCTCGAGCGTTGCATATACGACCAATTGATCAACCATGTCTCAAGTGAACTGCATAACCTCCAATATAATATGGATTTCTCAGGGGGAAGTCTACAACATCACAATTACTAAAGGTTCTACACGAGTTTGGTGAGTCACTCGACAAAATAATCCAAACTGATGTCCTTTATCTTGATTTCGCTAAAGCGTTTGACAGGGTTGATCATCATCTGCTTCTCAAGAAACTTAGTAATTTTGGAGTTTGCGGAAACTTGCTGAGCTGGTTTCATAACTATCTAACAGATCGCCATCAAAAAGTTACCATTTTAGAGCGACAAAATGCACAAAATGCAAAGGAAGGCAAAATTTAAGAAGGATGCGCGGATGGAGAGGTCTGCGATTCAACTACCTCAAAAATGAAGGTAATAAAAACCTCAACGTTTCAGGCTCCTTTTGTCGGGAAATTAATAGCCGACGAAGGGCCTTCGCTCGAATCCGAAGTTTTCTTGTGTCATTACTACCTACCATGAGGGGCGAAACACACTAAATATCATGATAAAAAAATAGCATGATCATAACAACACATTGGCATCAAAGGTATACTAGACTTAATTCCGAAATACCACATATTCGAACAGACTTGCCCTCCTAGTTCAGTTGGCATGGCATTGGATTAGTATCCCAAAGGTCGCAGGTTCAATTCCCACCGCGGTCTGGCTAAATTTTCAGCCTGCCCGGTTTGGATATACACTCAGAGTATCATCAAAAACTTTTTTAGTCACCTGAGTACATAATATGAAAACACACGCCAACAAATATCATAATCAACAATAGTTCGTATACACAGTGGAAAAAGCTTGACATTATTCTAACCTGGGATGAACCTTGTCAGGTCTTAAACAACCATACGCACAACCTCGTTCCCAGCACATACACATATTAACCAAATGAGCGACAGTGTGCGAAAACAGATAATAATTTTAGACATTATACTGAACAGTAAATTCTTCTACAATTCATTCTAATATTTAAATAAGGAAAATTATTTCATAACTTGCTCCACTATGAGTATTACTGGTAGTACTAGTTACATACTTGAATATATACTTTGAGACTTTGAGTTGAACTATTGTACAATTATATTATTGTATAATATAGTTTATTAAAGTTCAGCAATAGTTAATATTTACTAGTGGCTACGTACTATTTCAGTCAACATCACAAAGAATGAAACCAAGAAAAATACATGCCCCTTATGCAATCTAGGCCTTAGTAAAGATCTCATATTTACATATACACATGCACCGTACGTGCCCCAATAATTGCGCAAGTATGCAGAATTTTTACTAAATGCGCAAGACAAAAAATACTAAAATATTAAAAACAAACAATAAAAACATTTAACTATTTACACGTAAGACAAACACAACAAACAAGATTAACAAATTAATATTAAGCAGAAAGCTTATAACGTATCGAGTCGGACTGAGTGTTCAAAGATGTTTTCAGTTCCCTAATGTAAAGCATCTCGTAGAGAAGGCACTCATACTTCCCTCGACACTTGCGTAGAATCGAAAAGCAGTTTTCAACCCTTGATAAGCTCTCTCCATGATTATCAGCCATATAGATTCCTACCACTGATCCTCTGTGTTTATCAATGCGTTGATGTAGATGTCGACAAGTATAGCCAACATAATCTGCATCGCACAGATCACATTTAAATCTGTAAACAACGCATTGATGATTCACAAGGGGCGGCTTCAGTTCCTGTACTTTAACATCATCCCGAACCTTTCTGCTTGTGAAAACCGGTCGTAGAGCTTTCCCTATCAACGATCCAAGACCCGTGAGTTGTCTTCGAACAATATCGGCCGATTTTTTATCTTTAAACGGCAAGATAAGGCACACCACGTTTTCTTGCTGTTTCGTTAATGTTTCCTTCACCTCCTCGTACTGCTTGTCGACAAACCCCGATATTACTGAATCAACAAGTCCAAGTGGATATGGTGGAGATGGTCCGGCGAAAGGGACCATCTCCACCAAGATCTCTACGAAGAGCCACATGCACGAAAGGTTTACGTCTGGCTCACCTGTACGGCCTACCCAAGACCCATAAACCAAAATATAGCTATGCGTCCCATCCTCTCTGTCACTGGAACCTACAACTTTATGCTAGCGAAGTGGTTAGATGAGAAACTAAAACTAATTTCCATCAACGAATTTACTGTTTCTGATCCTCTACGATTCTCCGAAGAGTTACGCAAGAAAGAGATTGTTGACGGTGAAATTCTTGTGTCGTATGATGTCTCCTCGCTGTTCACTAACGTTCCAGTGGATGAGACAATTGAAATTCTTGTCGAGAAAGTTTTTCATTAGGAGTGGTTTAACTACAGATACAACCTAGCGCTGAAAGAATCGGATCTTCGCGCCTTGTTGAACATAGCCGTGAAAAACCAACTATTTCAACTGGACGAAAAGCTATACGAGCAGACCGACGGTGTAGCGATGGGATCGCCACTCGGGCCTTTAATGGCAAATACCTTCATGTATTCCATAGAGGAGAAGCTGGTCAACAACATGGATATGCCATCTTTTTACCATCGTTTTGATGACGACACAATAACATCCCAAAGTAGTTTGGCTACAACGGAAGACTTTCTCGACACTCTGAACAGTTGTCACGAGTCTTTAAATAGTGAGCTTAAGCAAATGCCGCTTTTGACAACACGAACGGCATGAGTAACGTCAGAAGACTTGGTCATACGCTGTGATTGGCGAAAAACGTCAACTTTACTTCCGGTCAACGTTCGTGTTGTCAAAAACGTCACATGCTAAAGTTCACTAATTTCAAGATGGAATGCGAAGTCGATGGAAAGTTGCCCTTTCTCGGGTGGAAGCCATCAGCAATGATAACCACCTTGAAACGAAAGTTTACGCGAAATCAACCAACACCGGTCTCCTTCTACACTACCAGAGTCACGTGGATCGAAGATACAAACGTTCACTTATAACCACTATGTTAAATCGTGCATTCCGTTTGTTGTCATTATGGGAACACTTTGTCGAGGAATGTGAGCGTTTGAAGAACGTTTTCGTCCATCTCAAATATCCACTTGGACTTGTTGATTCAGTAATATCGGGGTTTGTCGACAAGCAGTACGAGGAGTGTGGGAAAGGGTATTTTCGTGACCGTGAATGGTGAATATTTGTTCGCGTGAAATGTGAAATGCTTGATTTCAGTGACGTGAAATGTGATTTGTTCTACCGCCGTGAGGCGTGATTGTTGACAAAAATGCTCCGTGGAATGAGAATTAAAGATGCCTGTTTCGTCAACTGTGATTATTATGGTGATGATTATAATAAACATGATACGCGATAATCAAATTTATATGATCTCACTCGATTGGACAAGAGTAAAAACTTTCGCGAGGTTCCTGACGCTGAGGACAGGGTTCCTGACGCTGAGGACAAGGTTCTTGACTCTGAGGACAAGGTTCCTGACGCTGAGGACAAGGTTCCTGACGCTGAGTACAAGGTTCCTGGCGGTGAGGACAAGGTTTCTCGCGGTGAGGACAAGGTTCCTGGCCGTGACGACAAGGTTCCTCGCGGTGAGGACAAGGTTCCTGGCGGTGAGGACAATGTCCCTAGTGGTGCGGACAAGGTTCCTGTCTTTGAGGACAAGCTTCCTGGCGATGAGGACAATGTTCCTGGCGGTCAGGACAAGGTTCCTGGCGATGAGGAGAATGTTCCTGGCGGTGAGGAAAAGGTTCCTTCGCGGTGAGGACAGTGTTCCTGGCGGTGAGGACAACGATTTTGGCGCTGGCGACAAGGTTCCTGGCGGTGGGGTCAAGGTTCCCGCCTCCCGGCGGTGGGTACAAGGTTCCTGGCGGTGGGACAAGGTTCCTGGCGGTGAAGACAAGGGTCCTGGCGGTGAGGACAAGGTTCCTGCCGGTGAGGACAATGTTGCTGGCGGGGAGGACAAGGTTCCTGGCGGTGAGGAGAAGGTTCATGGCGGTGAGGACAAGGTCCTGGCGCTGAGGACTATGTTCCTGGCGGTCAGAACAAGGTTCCTGGCGGTGAGGACAAGGTTCCTGGCGGTGAGGACAAGGTTCCTGGCGGTGAGGACAAGGTTCCTGGCGGTGAGGTGTAGGTTTCTAGCATTGAGGACAAGGTTTCTGACGGTGAGGACAAGGTTCCTGGCGGTGAGGTGAAGGTTTCCGACGTTGAGAACAATGTTCCTGGCGGCGAGGACAAGGTTCCTGGCGGTGAGGACAATAATCCTGGCGGTGAGAACAAGGTTCCTGGCGGTGAATACAAGGTTCCTGGCGGTGAGAACAAGGTTCCTGGCGTTGAGGACAAGGTACCTGGCGGTGAGGACAAGGTTCCTGGCGATGAGGAGAATGTTCCTGGCGGTGAGAACAAGGTTCCTGGCGGTGAATACAAAGTTCCTGGCGGTGAGAACAAGGTTCCTGGCGTTGAGGACAAGGTAGCTGGCGGTGAGGACAAGGTTCCAGGCGGTGAGGAGAAGGTTCCTGGCGGTGAGGACAATGTCCCTAGTGGTGCGGACAAGGTTTCTGGCGGTGAGGACAAGCTTCCTGGCGATGAGGACAAGGTTCCTTGGCGGTGGGGACAGTGTTCCTGGCGGTGAGGGCAACGATCCTGGCGCTGACGACAAGGTTCCTGGCGGTGGGGACAAGGTTCCTGGCGATGAGGAGAATGTTCCTGGCGGTGAGGACAAGGTTCCTTGGCGGTGAGGACAGTGTTCCTGGCGGTGAGGGCAACGATCCTGGCGCTGACGACAAGGTTCCTGGCGGTGGGGACAAGGTTCCTGCTTCCTGGCGGTGGGTACAAGGTTCCTGGCGGTGGGACAAGGATCCTGGCGGTGAGGACAAGGTTCCTGGCGGTGAGGACAAGGTTCCTGCCGGTGAGGACAATTTTGCTGGCGGGGAGGACAAGGTTCCTGGCGGTGAGTACAAGGTTCCTGGCAGTGAGGATGAGGTACCTGGCGGTGAGGACATGTACAATGTTCCTAGCGGTGAGGACAAGGTACCTGGCGTTGAGGGCAAGGTTGCTGGCGGTGAGTACAAGGTGTTGAGGAGTTCACTCCTCTGCTGGTTCTCACAGAATCAACTAACACACATTTCACAACTTTTCCATATATATTTAAAAACAATCCTTGTTACAACGTTCAGTCTGTGCCGCAATGGCCAACTGACTGGGACAAACAGTTTACAATCATTTTAACTATCTTAATTTACATGCAAGTGACACGTACGTCCGGTGACGTTCACAACTTATCATTAACAAAATACTGTTCCAATGAGATAATCCTAGCCCATGGCTGAGGTATCTAAGTTATTTCCTACTTACTTTAATCAACTAAATATATCTTTTAAGAATAACATAACTAAATTAACTAATACAATATATAGGAATATATGACACAGTCGCCCCTTGAACCCTTACGGTTCAAGCATGGCCCTGGTTTTCCAGATGGAGTCTAATGCAGCGGCTCTACGAGCTGGTCTGTGTGGCCTGTCGCTATTCTCGCAAGACTGAGTTTCAACATCACCATGAACATCAGACTTATCACTTCGAATCTCCAACGGATACAATCTCTGCACTGGCCTATTCAAAAACTTCGTTCGCCCCTTCTCAACCATCTTAACCATTGATCCTCTCACAACCCCATCCTTACCCTTAATCAACCTTTCGACCACAGCTACCTTCCAAAACCCACGCTTCACTCGTTCATCAAACACCAATACAACATCTCCCAAATCCACAACTACATCACTAGTTTTCTTCTTACCCTTGTGGTACTCTCTAAGATCAGCCAAATACTCTCGCCTCCAACGAGTCCAGAAATGCTCTCTTAACCTTCCCAAAAACCTATACCTCTTGCGATGCCCTTCAGCTTCGTCTGCCTCATCATCGTCAACTATCCCCACATCATCAGGCATAGATTGAAGTTGGTAGCCAAAGATAAGGTGAGATGGCGTCAATACTTCCACCCCTGCCTCGTCGTACTCGTAGGTTAACGGTCGTGAATTGATAGTACCCTCGATTTCAATTAAATTGGTCAAAAGTTCGTCATAGGTTAGTTTTGCCTTACCCAAAATTTTCCTTAACGCTCGTTTT